TGAAATGTCCAAAAGAGGGAGCTGGGATTGACTCCAATGATCGAAAATCCTGCTCTCGACAAAGATTCATGAACAGGTGGCTTCGCATGTCACCGCCATACCTCCTCCGTCATCCGTTCACCCGTCCACCCGTCCACCCATACAAACCCTTGCTTTCTTCCAGCTGTCGCTTTTGGGTTCCTAGCCTCCAGATATCGGAGCAAGACTATGGAAACCCACCTCGGGATTGTGCTGTTGGAGCGTTACAGAAAGAAGCGAACCATCACCAGGGGTTCCCACCCCTTAAGCGGCCGAGGCAAATCATAACAGTCCCGGCGCCGGGGCACCGTGCCGTTCTCTCGCGACATGACGACAAGATTTCGGCCCTCCCTCCGAACGCGGGGATCCCCCCCAAACCTGGCTGGGCGCCTGTGAGCAAGCCACCCATCGTATGGTAACACAACACAGACACACAATCGCCGCTGTCAGCGATGAAGCTAGCGAGCCACATTTCCACACGGACGGTCCAGGCCACCTGCAAATGTCTGGTTTGGAGTCTAGACGCACGCATGCCGACTTTCACATCCGACTTGCACCCGTGACTAAGCCAATTTTTTGACACGACATCTGACAGCTTCGTCAACTACCACAACCAACGCTGGCTAAACATTCAAGCAACTTTGACCGCCCGAAATTGGGGTTTGGGGTTCGGCAGTATCCTAAAGTTCGCATCACCCCCACAGCACCGTCGGCGCACCGGCAGTTGGCTCGTCTACCAATGGCAACCCCGATGAATCGTATTTACTTCCCGTTCTGCGATCCCGGCTCTCTACCAGCTCATCAAAGGACCAAGGGGAGTTAGGGAATATCGCAGCATCCCCCTCATTCTCGATCGCTTCCCCGCTTCTCCAGCTGATAATGGACCCCGAGCTTACCTCCGATCCCCCACATGCCCCTCCATATGAGGCTCCGTGCCGTCTACTTCATAAGGAACCCCTGAGACGGCATTATCAGAAACTTTGGTCCAGCTGAGCTTTGCAATTCAATACCCTTCGAGACGAATACTACAGCACCATACCAGACACAATGGCAGACCCCAAGGATCTGAAAATTGCCATTATTGGCGCAGGTACTCGCCGCCTGGCTCACGGATCTTGAAGACCGTTCACTAACACGAACTTGCGTAGGAATGGGCGGCTTGGGTTGCGCCCTTGCATTGGCCAAGAAGGGATTCAAGCACATCGATGTCTATGAGACGGCCTCCAACCTCGGCTTCGTCGGCGCCGGCATTCAGATGCCGCCAAACGTCGTCCGCGTACTCGATCGCCTAGGCTGCTGGCCTGAGATCGAGAAGACGTGTACAGACGTGAAGAGTTCAAGCATTCGACGTAAGGAGGACCTCTGCACCACCACATCACCTTGCGAAGCACAACGTTACTGACATATTAGCACAGAGGGCGCCACCAATGTTGAGCTCGCCCATGTCGAGATGCCCGACATTCGGAATTTGTACGGATTCCCGCACTGCAACGGCCACCGCTCCTCCCTTGCCGGTGGCATGTACGACGCCTGTAAGAAGGAGTCCGCCATCACATTCCACTTCGCGACGGCACTACTATCGGTCGAATCCTTTGCGCCCAAGCCAAAGTTCGTGCTGCAGCCGCGCGACGGCGAGTCCTACGCAGTCGAGTCCGACGTTCTCATCGCTTGCGACGGCATCAAGAGCATCATTCGCGCCCAACTGCTTGAGTCTATCGGCGCCGTCGGTGGGGAAGAGGATACGGGCCAGGCTGCCTACCGCATCATGCTCAAGCGTGAGCAGATCGCTGATGACCCAGAACTCCTCGCCCTCCTCGACTCGGACGAGGTAATCCGCTGGATCGGCGAGAAGCGCCACATCATCGCCTACCCCGTCTCCTCGCACACAATCTACAACCTCTCCACCACCCAGCCTGACTCCAACTTTGCCGTCGCCACGAACGCAACCTACACCACAAAGGGCTCCAAAAAGGCCATGCTCGACGTCTTCCATGACTTCTGCCCCCTCGTCCACCGCATGCTCAACCTTGTACCGGACGGCGAGGTCTGCGAGTGGCGCCTACGCATGCACAAGCCCTTACCGACCTGGGTTCACACCGACGGGCCTGTCGCTCTTCTCGGTGACGCCTGCCATCCAACCCTCCCGCACCTGAGCCAGGGCGCCGCCATGGCCATCGAAGATGGTTCCGTCGTCGCCGAGGTCCTCGCCCGCGCGCCCGACACGTCTCCCGCGACGCTCCGGCGCTGCCTCAAAGCCTACGAGCTCTCCCGGCGCGACTGGACCTCGCAGCTCGTCAACATGGCCTTCCTCTCGGGCAAGCAGCTGCACCTCGGCGAGGGCAAAGCCAAGGAGGAGCGCGATCGCATGTTTGCCGAGTCCAAGCAGACCGGCGCTGTGCCGGATAAGTGGGCCTCGCCCGACGTGCAAAAGATGATTTATACAAATGACTGCGTGGCCAACATCCAAAGAGACTTTGACGAGTTCTTCAGTAGCGTAGCATAGAAATGGAACGGCAGATCATATGATGCTCACTTTGTAGATACCTCAGTCTGTTTTATTTTTTGGTGTAGTTTCGGTCTTCACTTCTGCCCTCCGAAACCTCTCTTACACGTGTAACGTGAAAGTCTCCGTGACGTTGCGCCTAGGATGCTTGCGTCCTCGGCCAAGCCACTCTCGATGAAGCATACCCCGCACTCGAGAGCTCAGCTCACCTAAGCTTTGCCGCTAGGAATTCACAGTCGCACAATTTTAGAGTTTAGTCAAGTGGACAACATGTTCCCGAGGCGTATCCGTGACGATATTATGCTATGCGATGGAAAAAAGCTATCGAAACTCCCGGATCCCACCGGGTTCGAAAAACACCAAAAGGAGCACAAAAGGCCCTCGCAGGAGTGAATAAGGGCTCGTTTCCCTGTAAAGCATACCCGTCTCTCAAGCCCACGACAGAAAAAGTTGTTGTTCCCGGATTCCACCTCGAGGAGTTGAGAATCCCCTTCATCCCTTTGACGCCGTCCGAGACATGCAAGAGAGTCCCCCATGCCTACGATGATGAGAAAAGCGCAATGTCGGCTGTACCCCTTCAGACTCTGGTAACCCCTTAGCAGCCGGCGAAGGGTCTTCTCGTGTATCTTCCCACGCTATGCCATGCATTTCTCGGCACCGCAACGGGCCCAGACCGGGTATCATCGTACGCTCCCTCCTTACTGCGTCCCCTTCTCTCCTGCCATCATCCCGTTCGAAGTGGGTACTGCTCATGACGTTCGAGCCGCAAAGTACTTTGGTTGTTGAGGGTATCGTGTGGTTTGTTTCGCAATGTCGCTCCGTATAATCTGGCCCCTTGAACCAGACGTTCGCAAGCCGCCCGCTTAGAACAAGCAGTCAAGACAGCAGCAGCACGCGAGCGCACCGAGCAGACCAGCCATGATGCCGCCTCCCGAGCCGCCGCCGCGGTTGTCCTGGTAGTAACCGCCTTGCGGCGGGTACTGCTGTCCGTACTGGCCCTGGGGCGGGTAGGGACCTTGGGGAGGATATTGTCCCGGGGGGTACTGCTGTCCCGGAGGCGGGTACGGGCCTTGCTGGTGGCCGTAGTTCATCTCCGGGCCGGGGGAGTAGTATTGTCCCGGCGGAGGAGTGCCGTAGCCTCCTGGGCCGCCGGGGGGAGGCGGGGAGCCGTAGCCTTGGTAGGCCTGTTGCGGGTGTTGAGGGGGAGGACCGCCGTACGCGGGGGGCTTGTCGTGGTCGGCCATTATTTGGGATGGGAGTTGGTTGTTGCTTGTGATGGATGAAGATGAGAGTGGTAGGCGCGACGGGTTCGGGTTGTGTCGCGGGTTGGGTGAGAGGTAAAGTAAATTACTTTTCGGTTTGCCTTTCGACGACGATTGCAAAAAAATACAAAAGAAGGCAAGAAAGTCCGTTTGCTTGAAGCGGTGCGGACGAGATCCCCTTTGTCGGACGGAGGCAGCGGAGGGCTCGGAGGCGGGATTACGTGTAGAGGATGGAGGAAGAAGAAGACTGCAAGCGGCGGATGGCGAAGGGGAACAAAACCCGGTGTGAAGAGTTTAAGGAACGGGTATCGAAAAGCCACACACACACACACACACCTCTGGATAGAGAGAATGAACACACCACCCGGAAGAACGTGGCGATGTTGGGGAAAATGAATGGGAGGAGAAGGACGTGCGTTGCGTGCGTGGATGGATTGGGCGGGAGAGAGCCAAGCCGCGATTTTGGAGGGAGGCAACCTGCCTGACCCTTGTCGGTGTAGGTACCTTATGTTCGCCTGGCCGCACCTGGTGGTCGCCTGCGACTCTCGTTTCGACACACTCCAGGTCTCTTTCGTTTTAGCGGGCGGCGTTAAGTTTGCGGGTTTGCTCGTGACTCTAGCCTGAAATAGGCTTATGCGCACCAAGTCTCTGGGCGCGCGCCGCGGGCGAGTCTTGGGGGTCTTGGGGTCTTGGAGTGTTCGTAAGCTTGTCTTTGCCCATGTATCTTTTTGTTGGGTCTCTCTTTGCAGTGTAATTGCGACGGGTATCCGTATGTCTCCGTTTTGGACGGAGGTTCCCCGTTCACTTGCACCTTCAAGCCATACGGATTCTGGGCTACTTTACCGGATACAATTCATGGAAACAGGAAAGCAGCGGTCTAGACACACCATGGAGAAAGTAGGTTCAGCGAAGCTTCCTGCACAAGCTCTCCTCACCTCCTTCATCCCATCTTCTCCGAGTAGGTATGCGCGACACAAGGCGACAAGCGTCGGAGGGAAACAGATACACAGTAACACAGCATCAAGCAGTACCTGCCTGGCGTCCAAAGCAAGCACCTGTGACATTCGCCAGCCCCAAACTGTCCCTGTCTCAAATCCGTCCGCCTTCCCCTTCTCCTTCTCCTACCTTGCTCCCCACCAGTCAAGCGCACCCAACCATCCCGCAACGAAGAAACACCCCTGGCCCTTCGGCTCCCCGGCAAAGACCCCAGCAATCCAATGAGAGGCCAGTCGCCCATCCCAAAGGTCGCGTTCGCATTGCCCCATCTGATCACGCCCGTTGCTACTGCAGCGCTGCTGGTGCCTGAGCTCCTTCCCACGGGGCCACGACAGAGTGCTGCTGCCGCCGTGCCGGAGCGGCTTGCACCCAATCAGCGGCACCACCGGCGCAGTAGGGTACCTTGATCAAGCTGCGAGGTCATCAAGTGCTATGTTTGGAGCAGACCCGCCCTGCCCGCTCCGGCCTGCTCGGGTCACTGGGCCACTGGCGAACGCAGCATGTCACCAAACAAGGTGCCCAAAAAGGCAGGACGGGATTGGGTCGGCGCGGCGGCCCCTCGCCGACGGAGGAGAAGTAGATCCACTGTTACCGCTGACGTTTCCGATATCTTCGGCCCCGGCGCCGAGGTTGTAGGAAGCCTCCGGGCCGTCTTCGGTCCCCTTATCTCCGACATCTTCTCCGTCCCTTTGATTCTGCCAGAGGTACCGGTAACAACACTCACTTCGTGGTGAAATCTAAGTGGCGAGGCCTCGGAAATAATTACCCTCGTAATCCTCAACAGACTTGGTATGCTTTCAGTATACCCGGGAACACTAAGTTGGAGGGAGGAGCGCGTAGCCTCGCCACCGTCCTTGGTTTATGGGAAAACGTAATGAGGTCCAGCAACGTGAGCAGTCCAAGTTGATCACGTCATGAACAGCGTCATTTTCGAATTAGGCCTACAGATTGTCCATGTTTACTAAATGAGATCACCCTGTCGGATGAATACCGAAGTCAATAGGTCTAACGATGAAGCCCTCGGTTGTGCAAAGCAAGCAATCCGTCAAGAAAGGCACCGAACGAAAGAACAGTTGCCCAGCTTGATTACCGCAGACTTTACGCCAGGGCGGCCATACTCTGATTTGATCTAGCGGTAGGCTTGTTACATTGACCAGCTCACATCAAGTATCGAAGTCTCCCCTCGCGCCACTCAGAGAATAGGGCTTAACTTCCCGTATAGGTTCGCATCACTGAGTGAGCGTCGTTCGCGTCCGTATGTCTCGACACCCCTTCGAACAACCGACAAAGGTCATGTAAGCGAGCGTTCGATACCCCTCCGCACATTCACTCTCATGTCCCATAACGTTACCACGACTTTTGACTTAATAACGCAAGCCACGTACTGAAAGTAACCTGGAACATGGAAACGAGAGGTAAGTCATGCATATCCAGGAGAGAACGCCGGCGGAACCTTGAGGATCAAGGAACGAAGGAAGGAACAACAGGGTGGAACATCATCTCCCTCTTCTTGGGTTACTCATGAATACGTGGTTAACATATCGTGAGGGACCGACCCTAGGGCCGGTGGAGGTTTGACTTCTCCAGGTGAAGTCATAGAAAAACGAACAAATTGCCTAAGTAGTTGCAACACCAGCACCGCCACGGCATTAACAAGTGTCCTAAATATGTAATGAGCTCCCTAGTAAGGTACTTTCCATTTGCGCCCGCCATAGAAAATAAACACAGCAAAGGGACACGCAGTACTCGCTGCTTGTAAGTCGACAGGGCCGGTTGTACATACACTGTGGTCAGTGGAGGCAAAATTTCAACAGCACAAACACAATCTTTGCAAAAATCAAGTAACCAACCAATTATTCAAGCAAAACAGATAAAAAGCATCGAATCAGAGTGATCAACAAGACAAAAGTTCCGAAACCGAGAATCGAACTCGGGGCTATGCCTAACCTCGCAAGTTAATGAGAGGGCATCATGTTGGCCACTACACCATATCGGATGTTGTTGAAAATCCGGACAAAATAATCACCTGAGTACCATACCTTGGCCTCGCAGCCAGAATTTCATCGGCACAGCTCAAACCACACCACAACCCACTGCATGTTTTTCCCACGTTCACGATATACGATTAATGTCGATAACATTGAGTTTCCTCGGAGATCGGGATTCCCAGCTTTTTTTCTCTTCTTTAAATTATCACCCAGCCAAGTGTTCCTCGACATCCTGGCAACATGACCCAAGCTCTCTTCCCCAAACCGCTCTGCCTCACTCATACCTCCGCTCGTGACCACAGACCAAAAAAAAATTGAGAAAAAGAGAAAACCTTTCCGACAAAACCCCCCAGCCACCACCGAATCATTGATCATATATCCGTGACTGTAGGAAAACTTTCAGAAATCGCTGGCAAATGTTTTCATCGCTGTGCATCGCTTCGCTATTTCGGATCAAATGGAGAAGAGACGATGTGTTGGAGGACCAAAGGCACGCAAGGCTTAGGAGGTGGGAAACCAAAAAAATCCCGCTTTCAGTAGGTAGTGATGATGAATGAATCGACGTCGCTTCGCTTCGCTCTCAATGGCTCAGGGTGGCCCCGAGGGTCGGTAGTCCTCGTCTTCGCAAGTCGCTATTTACTTCTTCGGCGTGCTCGAGAAAGTGTCCTTGCATTGAGTCCCAAAGAGATGCCGGCGGTACTATCAACGCTCGTTAGCCCACATCCCTCTTCGTTCTCTCCAAATCGAAAACCTCTTCCTTACCTTCCAGCACGCCGCTCCTTTCCAACGCATATTGTGTCACCGCGCAGTGAGTGCTGATTTGGAACATAAAACCTGCACAAGAATGTCAGCCGCGGTGCAATGGGTGTTAATGCTTCCCCTCGCTATCCTTACCGAGAAAGCCTTCTCCCACGCGTTGAGCCTTCAGCTCATTGGTAGTCGCTTGCACAAACGCCTCATGGGTTTCTGCAGCCCCTTGTTAGTATCTGGCCTCTTGTCTGAGAAAAGGACCTCCTGTATCCGTACCTCCATGCGGCATGAAGCTCGACTGGAAACTCAGGCCACCAGCTTCCAGATTGCGACTGGTGCCCTTGTAACCGCCATACACGATTCCCACCACCTCCGTCGACATATTTCGATGATAATACTACACCCCGTTAGCCACGACATTTGCCACACCCCAGGAAAAAGAGAAACACAACGTACGGGAGGTCGAAAGGTATTCGTCGCCGAAGACCACTTTGGCGTGAAAAACATGACATCTGTTGCAGGTATACCGGGCATCTTGGACTTCGCCGTCAAGACGGTGTACAAACTGGGGTCGGCTTGGTCCTTGTCCACGAAGGCGGCATTGACAAACTTCTCGGCGGCATATTTGAAAGGCACATAGCTATGGAGCGATGTGAGCACCTAGATGGAATACAATGGGGGGAGAGGGTCTTGGAGCGGGCGTTTCTCTTACTTGCCATCCCATGCGACCACGTCAAAGGGCGTGTGGTTCTGTTTGCAGGACCACAGCTTTCCAGCCAGTTTATACACGACTAACACGCCGCGTCAGTCAGCGTGGCCACGTCTTGGCAAAGATGATAGGGCAGACTTACTCTCCCACTCCGACGTATCCATGTCAAATGAGGCGACGGGGAACTCGAAATCGCGAGGCAAAGCCATCCCGTTGCTTCCGAGCGGCCCCAGTTCTGGCAGCTCGTACCGGCTTCCGAATATCTCTTGGATGTCTAAGCCCATCAGTTGGATGTCCTCTCATGCATATGGGCATCGTCAAATGACTCACAACCCCGGGCCGGACCATCCGGCAACCCGACCTTGAAGCGGATGCCACTCTGGATCACCGCCAGCTCGCCAGGCCGAACCATCATTCTGGAAAGATCGTCAACAGATTTTCGTCACCGACTGGAACAGGTGACTGCCCACCTCCCGAATTCTGTCTGAATGTCCAGCCTGCCAGTCTGAGGCACGAAAAGCATGTCGCCATCATTGCTGCAGAATGCGCGCTTTTTCATGGAAGAATTTGCAGCGTACACGTGTACAGCTAAGCCGTCCTTGGTCGTTGAGTCGCCATTCCCAACTATCGTCTTGAGCCCCTGGACGAAGTCGATAGCCGGCCCATCCGTCTTTGGCACCGAGAATGCTCTCCAACAGAGTCCTCCGGGAACAAACTCGACATTCTCATTCCCAGACGTAAATCTTGACTCAATCTTGACGGCAAAGACATGTCAGGGGTGGGCCCAGTTTGAAAGTGGTTGCGTTATGGGTAGATGGAAGGGGATCCAAGGAATGAGAAATGACTTACATCTGGGTTTCGTGGCTTCTTTGAGATATCTCCGTGAGCCACAGACGGGAAAATCCGGTAGAACCAGGCATTTTGGATGTCAGTTCGAGAGGCAACAAAGGTAGAACCGTTGAGCTGCTCGGAATAAAGGTTGTACTTTACTCTTTGCGGTACATTACATGATCGAGGTAGAGTCCCGGGACTTATTGGTGAGCTCAGACTCTTGATCAAGAATTGGGTAATGCCAACTTACATGGCTTCAGAAGAGAATCTGTTTCCAAATCCAACTTGATAGATATACGGATCCTCCGGAGAGGAGTCCGTAGTGAAAGCGTGTTGAGCAGAGGCGCCCATTGTCAATACGGGGTCTGAGGCCATAGGATACCTCTCAGAGTTGGGAATGATGGCTCCCATGGTTAGTTGATGTGTGGAGGAAGGCGAGAATAGATGTGAATCTAGACGGTAATGGCTTCTCAAGGAGGTTTGGTGAGTGTTGTGAAATGCAATGGCTGTGTTGTCACAGACGGAAGTAGACGGACATCACGAGTGATAAATGCCATGTTCCACAAACGACATTTGTGGCGTCTCCAACCGGTCACTATTGACGGGCACAACTAACTTTGGCTCGAGAGCAGGCCCTTGCATCCGATGACACTAAAAGAGATCAATCGGACCAGCGTTCGGTCGCGCAGAGCGCCATCATAGACAGATTTATCTCATGGAAGTTTTTGGTACCAGCAGTACTTACAGTCGGTACGTATTCCCAAGTGGCCGGGCGAAGGAACGTCCCGCCCATTGCCTGCCGGCATGCAGGAGCACAAAAACTGGGTTCCTGGGCATCTGGTGTGCCTCGTCTTCCCCTCCCTTCTGCACCCCCCACCATGAACACCGATTTGCTGCAACTCAAACTGAACAAACCCCTTCAGGTATTGGCCAGATCTCAGGATGTCACCAGAAGAGCGAAACACTAGTGCAATGCCTTCTGAGAATGGGTCGATGTAAGCTTTGGCCAACATTCGCCTTTGCGCTACAGGGCGGCCTTAGTGGGAAATATCAGGTTAAAGCAGGCCCGATTTCTCGCACAACGGTCGAGTTGATGACCGCAATTTGGTCCGGGCTGGCTAATTCCCATTTCCCGTCTGGGGCACCCGTTGTGCTGCAAGATCAGTCGGTCGATATCCGAGCCAGGGTACCGTGTTCGATTTCCAACACAACTCTGCCTCTGAAGACGTGAGATGTCTTGAAATCGCGGACGAAAGGGCCATCTACGGCCATGTCCGGCACCTACGGATGGGACCGTCACTC